TATTTTAACAAAAAATTATACATAAATTTCCCTCCAAGAAAACATAGATTTTTTTTTTTTTTGCAAAATAAAGACGTAGAATTTTAATTTTAATGAGACTCACCACACAAAATAAAATCGTTAATAAATGACGATCGAATTTGATGTATTGACTGTAATCATTCATCTCTCTTTTACAACTATTTTTAGTTGGTGGGGCCCAGTCCAAGGGAAATTTTCCTCTACGGTCGTGTGTTTCGTCTGCTTCTGTCTAGTTCTTCTCAGTATTCCTTGGTTGTTGACAGGTGGGCTTGGTCGATGACGTGGCATCCATCAGGAGGTTTACGCGGTTTCTCTTTAACCGATACTATAATCGAGAAACACCCACCTAATAATCGCCCTTTTCCCGATCAAGCCGTTTTTTTTAATGTAAAAGAAAATCATTTTCGAATTATTTTCAAAATAGACATAATTATAATGTCATTGTCACCATGCAATTTGAAAAAGAAAATAAAAAATCGCATTTTTCAAGTTTTATTTTTGGGCGCTTCTAAAAGTAGCAAAGAAAATATTAAGAGGAATTTACTAAAATATATATATATAGCAAACACTTTTTATTTTTTAAAAAAACTCAATATCTAAGTAAAGTCTAATATCTCCTTAATGAATATGGTGCAAACACTTTTTATTTTGGCAAATGCATAATCATTCTTATTTCATGTCAGTACAAATTTAATAAAATAAATTGACTAATGGTCTTTAATAGCCAATTAACTGACAAAACAAAAGAAAATAATGGATTTTACTTTTAAATTAAAAATAAATAAATATAAAACTTCAAAGACTATTGAATTTCAATTATTGAGCATATATTTATCAAGATGAAAACAAATCAATTATTTTCTGGTAATGCTTCTAAGTTTGTAATTATGCAAAGGGTTCCAAAAGATACAAAAAGTAAAAGGAATATACACACTTTTGAAATCATGCTTCTGCATCGAAGTTGCAGCTTTTTGGAGCTCATAAATTATAAATAAATATAAAAAAAGGTTGAATTTAAAGTTGAATATTTTTGTTAGACATCATTACTTTATTTATTTACCTTTATTTCCCAAATATATTTGTCTAAAAAACAAAAGAAATAATAAAAGAAAGGTTCAATTATAATAATCAATAAATATTTTATAAGAATATTCCTACCCATCCTTTGATAACTCTTTATAAACACTAGTGCTTCCCACGCTCCCTTTTGCAAAAATTGCGAACTTTATGTTTCTTTTAAGACGCAAATAATGTCAAAGTTGCGGATAGTAGCTCACTTTTTAGAGCCAATCGAAACATAGTCCAATGAGTTAAAGTACGTATGTCCAATTGGGAGGTCATGAGTTCGAATCACCTATCTCACATATTATACTGAAAACTATTTAGAAGTATGAAATATTTCAAGTTTTTATGATTAAAACCAATAACAATTTAATCACTGAATTTTAGTTAATTTTGTTTATATACATTTAAATTAGTAACAATTTTCGTCATTAAACTTAGTACGTAACAATTTAGTCCATATAGTTGAAATTTGTAACTAACTTAGTCCTTATTGCAAATAGTTTAATCAAATTTAGTTTTTGTAATTTATAGACATATTTGGTCTCTGAAAAAACTAAAAACTACCCGAAAGCACTTTAATCATTAAGAAAAATATTTTATACGTGTTTTAAGAATATAATATAGTTCAACTGTTGAAGCATAGGTAACTTATTTTTTTAAACTAAAAGTTAGAAATCTCAACTTTTATTCGTGAATCTCGAAAAGGGAGTGTTTTACTTAATCTCAAGCTTGTTACATATAAAAGAAAAAGAAAAAGAAAAATGAAAAATGAAAAATGAAAAATAGGTGTATGAGTTGGCAATGGCATAAAGCTGAAACAGCATCATAAGCTTGTAGATCCCATGCATCAAGCAATCCCATATTTATGATTAAACGAAATGTCGAACCCACAGCCATAATTGTCATATCTATTATTTTCCAAATTTTCATTATTATTAATTAACATCACATGATTTCCGATAACATGCTTTTTTTAAAAAATAATAATAATAATAATAATTCTCAATTATAAATTTGATTTCACAAAAAAAAAAAAAACTTAATTACACCATTTCATGATTGATGGAATAAGAATACAATCTTCTATTAAATTGTATTTTTATCGAGTATATAATTCGATGGATAATGAGATGAATTACAATTTGTATGAATAAATCACATTACCAATTAACTATATTTTATTTATATTTTTTAGTGTCTAGAAATACTTGAATATTATAACATAAAGTATGTTGTCGTGGCGGAAAAATATGCCATGACACGTAGATCACCCCTACAACGCTGCATGTGTTAGGGCCTTAAGTCTGATCTCGTCGAGCTGAGGAGAAAAGGCCACGTGTCAAAGGATGAGGAGTTCAGCTCGACCCCTTTTTCCAGGTAGAGTTCGCTTGACGAGATATCCACTGACATTAAGCAGAAATATGATTATGCATGTCATAGTATCCTTAATGTCGGTGTTGAATCTTCGTTGTGACATGTATATGAGTTTTTCTCCCAAAATTACTCCCCTATATATATAGTGGAGTTAAACCCTTCTCAAAGGTATCCGAACTCTGGCTCCCAACTTCTTATCGTCAACTCTACTCTTCTAACAACTTTAGTTCTAACTTAAACTTCGAAGTGCATTTAGCATAGCACCATATTGGTAGTATGGAATTTTGACCCATATATATAGGTGATACGTGGAGGAGATAGGCTATATTATTATTGTTCCCGTTCAGTTTGACAAGGCTCCTCAACCGACCCAGTTCGTCACGTCACCTCGTCCAAAATTCAATATTGGCATATTTCAATAATCAAGATATTCTTACTTCTTTAAAGTAATGTGGTAGATTCGAAATCTCTATCATCAATATTTGTGAAGTTTTATTAATTAAAAAAGTTATGAATCAAATGATTCCACGACAATTTGTATTAATATAATTAATATATTGTCAACTTATTTATTATTCGTTTTACATCTCTTACCAAACTCTTTTATAAGATTTGGCTTACTTCCTAAAAAACGGATACATGTCTTTTTCATAGGGATGGGATTGGTCTAATGATGTAGCATTTTTACTCGTCAAGGGCACTAAACTTGGGATCCACGTGGTGGGAAATCATTGGTTAATTGACCAGCCATCTCCTCCCTTGTTCCAAATCTTGGCATCATAATAAAAGTGTGGAAATTATATTTTGTTTCTTTCTAAAAGAAAAAAGTCTTCTTTTAAATTATTTTTTTAGCGACACGACACGACAACCCATCCCTCGTTTCCTTATTTATCGGTCTACTTTTTTTGTTAATAAAATTGGTAATTTTTTTTTTCAAGAATTTAAATACTATTTGAATTGGGATGCTTTTACTTTTTATTCATTTTGATATTTGGACTCTCACATACTCGGTTTAATCAGTACTTTTTTTATTTGTTCATTTTAGTACTTTAAAAAAAGTAACTATTTTGATCCATGTTTGTAAAAATTTTACTTAAATTTTATACACCAATTTCTTCAATTGTTATTTTGTGTATAGTGTCACCCTAAAATTTTGATGAAAAATAAGAAATAAATTGAAATAAATGGACCAAAATTATCACTTTTTAAAAGTATATAGAATAAAACAAACGTTTTGAAAGTATAGAAACTTGAATGAACAAAATTTGAAATTATAAGAATCAAAATAAACGTTTTAAAAGTACAAATACTAAAATAAACTAAAGTCGAGAATACAATAACCAAAATAATATTTAAGCCTATATTGCTCTGATGGTACTTAAAACTAATTTTGAATTGAAAAAAAATTGTGGGCTTTGCTATGCTGTTTTAATGGAAGCTAAAAGTGAGTTTTTGGGCCATGCAACGTTGAGGATCCATTGTCTAAATGGGCCGGCCCATTGGGTTGCAAAATATCGAAACATACCTAAAAGAATCATAGGACACTTTTTTTTTAAGTACGAACTTCCGACCTACAGGGTGCCTTAACTATCAGCTAATCTCATATTGACAATCATACTTCACTTTGTTTTTTAGTACATATAGGGGGATGAATAATCGAATTCACAATCTCTTTGTTGAAGATATATGATAATTACTGCTCGTTTTGACCAATCATACATCACTTTTTTTTTTTTGACTTCAATCATACATCACTCTTGACTCCATCAAAATCAATCCAGTTACCTTATTCTAAAGTTTTAATTAGCCCAGTAACTATATTAAAAATAATCTAATTTTTAAATTTTAATGAACCTTAAATGTTCGACCTCAAATCTTCTTTTATTGTTTGAAGATATTGATATTTTAAGTTGGATACAGATGTCTTAGCCAGTTCAATAAATAAATACATTATTTTATGTTACAAACTCATTTCATTTTCGTTAAAATTAAAACTTGTAAAATATAATACATTATAAATTATACAACATTGTAAAATAATTATTATACAATATTTATAATAAAAATATTAATAAATAAACTAATATTATTTTAAATTGAATTAAATATTTTGTTAGCAACTACTACTAGTTTACAAATATATATACATGCTGCCATGTACCTGACAACACTAAATATAAAATAGCTTTAATTTTCATTGAATATCTCAAATTTATATTTTCTGATCACCAATCAAACGTATCCTAAATTATTTTAAACTCATGATCCATATTTTTCTTACATGAAGTAATCGGTTAATGATTTTAAAATTTAGAGACCAAATAGAATTCTATCTTTAAATTTAGAGTTCAAAAGTGTATTTTACATTTTAATTTTATAATTTTCTCTTTTTTTACCTTTTTTGTTTTGTTGTTTTGCACTCAAAATTGACACGATCGATCTAATCATTAACAACAATTTAACTAACATTCTTCCAAACAAAACAAAAAACAATTTAACTAACGAAATTTAATTAAATTAGCATTTTAAAATATTTATACCGTTATAGAAAAAAATAAATAATTGACATGGTGGTTCTTAGGCCCTTAGCCACTAGCCAGTAGCTATGGTCACAGTCGCTATAATTGCTTATTTTAAATAACAAATAATAATAAAAATCCACGTCGCTATAATTCGTCTGTCGTCAAAGGCTGGCATGCCAAAGAAGCAGTATTTTGTTGAAAAGGTCTCCGAACGACCTGTCGTTTTATCCCCTCCAGCCCAGATTCACTCCCTCGCGAACGAAATGTGAATTACTTATATTAAAAAAAAAAATTAATGGGGAAACAACTATTTTTTGGCTGCTTAAAAAAAAAAAGGCCTAGTGTTTGGCGACACGGACATAGGTCGGCCGTCAATCATTTTATTGTAATCCATATGTGTTGTATTAAAAAATTTTATTTAATTAGATTTTCTCTTACTTTGCAAAGTAGAAAATATATGAAAGAAAATAGCGGCATACACCTTCTTTTTACCGCTGCAAAAATTTTCTACATTTCTTAGAAAGAAAAAAAGCACAAAACCTATGTTAAATTTGATTAGTATTTTATAATTATGATTTGAATCGATTTATATTTGACTAGGCAGTTATATTCAACAAGTGAAATCAATTTCCTTACTTCATTAATTTAAGTTTTTTTGATTTATTGGTAGTTTGTCCATGTTTAATATAAATACCTCTAATTTTAATTATAATAAAAATGCAATATGATAATTATCCATTCATAGTTTGGTTGAAAAATAAGAAGAAATTCATAACTAATTTAGTATGATTCACTATTTTCATTAGGTTTCTGTTATTTATTTATATTTACAAATAACTAGTTACGTTTGTCCAATTAAACAAATATTTAGTAAACTTGTGTCAAATGATGAGAGCAACAAAACTTTTCAAAAAACATATGGATGAAATTAAAATGTCAAAATATAAGGATTTAAAATGATTTTTTATTTTTATTTATTAGGAAAGGGTTCAAAATGTAATTTAACCTTAAATTTACACTAATACAATTTAATTATGATGTCTTATCTATGGATGTTTGGGGGCGGCCTTCCCCATCCTCATCCCCGCCCTCCATTTAATTCCCCACAAAATTTTACAGGGATCAGGGTGGGGATTCCCGCAGGAAATTCACGAGGATCAGATTTTCCGTGTGGACCTTTTCCTCATTTATTCTTGTACTTTTAAAATTGTTTATCAATTAAATATTTCCCTATAGAAATTTCTAATTAATTAATTAAATTTCAATGATAAAAACTTTATTTACATGGTGTGCTCCTCCTCTATATATTTTGGTCGGTATAAAAGAATATGATTTTATTAGTATATATAAATACAGAAAGAATAATAAATTTCTTTTATTATATATATATATATATATATATATATATATATATATATATATGCGAGGCGGAGCGGAGAACAGGGAACGGAGACAAGAAATGCATTCTCCGTCCTTGTCTCACGAGAAAAAAACTTTTTCCATCCCCACCCCGTTGAGAATTTAAACCGAGGTACCTCATTTAAGCAGGTCCATAGGGAAAAATATCCTCCGTACTTGTATCTCAAATTAAATGGAATAGTTCCCCACCGAACGAAAAAAAATGGCTAGCGAAGAGGTCACGAATTTGAACAAAATAAAACGACGTCGTTTCATTGTCGACGCCCACGGCCCACGGAACCACTGCCAGCCCAGCCATAGCCAGCCCAAATTCGCTGGCTGCCCCAATCGCGAAATCTCAACTCCCTTTTCCGCACGACAAACAAAGATTCCT